GAAAAACACTTCCGCATTTCTTCGATTTTTTTCTTGGTGGAACTAATTTTATAATTAGTAGCCAGCGCATTTTCAAAATCCGTCTCATCATCAAATTCTTCGACATTTTTAATGCATTTTTTTAGATCTTTGCCTTGAGTTATAGCGGTACTTCAGTTCTCGGCTTTTTCTATAGATCTTACTCTGGGAGAAAATAAACTTTTCCTGTGCACAAGTGTTAATTGGGTCTTCTTTAATTTCTTTTTATTATTTTTCGTAGTGTTCGTAATTTTACTGGAGCACATTCGAGAACCTCATTTACTGCTTTTGTGAGAGAATACATGGACATATTCAAACTGTGCACACTTTTTCATTTTTTTGTGTACTGAAGTGCTAATTTATCGTCATTGCGGTAAAATACGGGCTTTTTTATGCTTCTGGGTCTCGAAACGAATTCACATGCAAGTTCAGTACCTTTCAGCGAAAACGGATGACAGCCTGTCTAACACGCCATTGAGGTTTTGTTGTAGATCCTTGAGGATATTTGCTGCATCTTCCTCCAAATTGGAGCCTCCCATGGCCTCATAAAGCTTTTCTAATTGGACCCGAAGCTGCTGAATGTTGTTCATCAAGGTACAAGCCTGGGAATAAACGACAAGGATCGTGAATTACGCTTGACAAGGACGGTTTTAATTGGATTCACCTTCTTCTCTTCCTTGGCGAACTGGTCGAACTCATTCTCGACGACGTTGGCGTAGGCCATGAGGACCTTCACGACGGTTTTAGCAAAACGCTTCATGTATCTCTTCCAAATCTCCGGATCCGGACACTCCAACTTGCTGACGACGTCGAAGCACTGCGTGAGTTGAGTGAATACGTCCACGACGGAGTTCGAGAAGAGTGCGTGTTCGCTGCTCGGTGGGAACTGCAATCCAGGTAATGCAATTTACGGCTCTCCTCAACTGAGTAAGGATTTATTTGTAGCTCACCCCGTCTTTCTTATCACGACTGAATGCTCCGTTGAGATATTCGAGGGAAACGTCGTCGTTCTCGTTCAGCCACTGCATCACAAATGGCTCGAACCAACTGAAAGAGGAATCCCGCAATAAGAAAGCGATTCAAGGATAAGCTATCCGTTTTCAAGTCCCTCACGTCGGGTACTCCGGAACGGCTCCTTTGTAAGGAGGTACGTCTTTGACGTAATTGTTGTATAGCCACTTCACTTTGAAATGCAGATTCATGTAAGCGGATGACTTGCATAAGCGGTTTTGCTCGTGTTCATCCATGGCATATTTGATGTCAGTGGCAAAAAAATTCCACATCGTCGCAGCAGACAGCTGCCGAATACAGCTCGAGGTATGCAGTCAATTCGGAATATATTCAAAAATTCATGCAAAATAGTACCTGTCCAATGTTAAACTCTTGTGGGAATTGGTTCAGCACAGGGTGATACGAATTTTTATCCTCTTCAATCACGGATACGATCAATGCAATCAACTTATGCCAAAAATCACAGGAATCTATTCTTGGTCCGTTGTCGCCATCTTCCCTCTTAGGCTCCCCACCGTCAGTCTGTTGAAAAGTTCGATTGCGAAATCGCTCATCAGGAAATAAGAATTGCGGGAATCTTACCTGGAATTCTCGAGTGTACAACTCATAGCAGTTTTCAAACAAGAACTGGTAAGTTGACTGTAGGCACGCTTTGGCACAATCCTTAAGCACAGTACTGGCTCGAGGAGGACTTGTCAGTTCTTGGACCTTGAATCCCAAAAGAATGAATCAATTATTCACGCCGAACCTTTTGTGCACCTCCAAAACTTGCCTTCATTCGGAAGAACGTAATGGAAGTAAGGAGATCGACAATCGATTTCAAATCAACCAGCTTTTCTGGTGATGATGCCGGGAAATTGTTTCTGTACATGGAAAGATCTATTCTCAAGGAATTGTGGAGTTGGTCCAACAGTTTGACGAATTTCTCCTTCTGCAAATGATGCAAAATTTAAATTGAATCCTTCCACAACGCTTTGTATCTGTTCGAGATTGAACCTTAAAATTGGAAGCAGCGAATCTGTCGGACGCGGACACGGCAGACGTCGCTGTCGTGTGTGCGTAGTACGCGTTAATATTTGCCAGAAGCGTGCTCATCACAGCAGGGACTCCTGAGCACAGGTACTTAGTGGAAAGGCAGTGGAAGTGCCTGATGAAAGTCCAAACAAATTGATTTATCGGACTGGCAATCTAGTCCCACGGATAAATACGCGTCACTTACGTCATGGCCTGGTAAATTGGCTCTATCCCGTATCGCATTGCGAATTCGTCAACAATTTCTTTCGCAGGAGAATCGAAGTATACTTTCCACGCGTCGTCGCCTTTTGCTTGAGGAAGTTTCATTCCGCCTCCGTTTTCCTCGCAGAGATGATGGAAAATATTTTCGTGCAGACAAGTGTACTGCACGTGGTACGGAGCGACCTAACAAATTTGAAAAGTACCGAAACAGTACTGAGCAAACCTCACCAAGCTTCATAAGTTTGCTTAATATTGCGGACGTAGCCTGTCAGTAAAAGCAAAGCTTCTGCCGCATCATTCCAGGGCAATATGCTGACATCATTCTGTACAGTATATCCTTATTCGAATGAATCATGACCCATGCTTTTTTTTCGTGACCTCATCCTACTAGTCGCTAATTTTTCTGTAGTACCATGGAAATGCTCACCCTTTCCTCGCCCTTGATTTCAACGGAGATATGAAGACGAATTGCCCCGGAAACCGCGGATTTGTCAGTTCGTTTCTCCAGGTTATACCACACATCCATTTCCCCAGACAGAGTTCTCACCTAGAATGGTACAAATCCAAGTTTACATGCTGCACAGCATGCTAGCCATTAGCGTTCAACAGGCCGTACCTCAATTATGGTCTGTCCTAAGAAATCATCAGACTCCCTGGTAAGCTTCTGTCGCAATTTCGACTTCAAGTCGTTATCCTCATCCCACACTCTAACTTTGATCCTGTCTGACGAGTTATGACATTCACTGGAAAACAAATATCGGTTATTTCGATGATTTCTACATCAGGAGTCCTCTTATTTTGTTAGTACGCACAAATAAAAGCGTTCATTCCATACGGGATTCAGTTCTTGCAACATAGTTTTGGTCCTTTTCTTGACTTTGCCAACTTGAACAGTCACGTAAGGATCGGAAGTACCGCTTTTGTCTTTGGCTATCAAGCCTTGGGCGCATATCACTGCAATTTTTGGCAAAAATCGGAGGATGAAGGATGTGAATCCAGTACGTATTGCGAGTCGGGAAGCGTGCATGCAGTAAGCAGGAAACATTCGATTTCAACTGATCCAAACGAGCCATGCATCTTGCAGGAAGCCATTCAAATGCATTGTCATCCTATAAATCTACTCCCAACGTGCACTAACATGTACAGTATTATACCATGATTATTCGGAAAAGCTTTAAAAATCTTCCTTTTCGTCATAATAAAAATATGCTCACTTCCGCTCTGCTCATGCAAAACAAGTTCTACTTTCACCTGAAACAGGGAGGGTTTCTCAGTAATTATCCGTTTAATACTTTAAACCGCAGCATTGAGTTTATTTTTAGTGAGAGTGGAACTGATAATATCCAGCAACGATGCGTGGATTCATCTTCCTCTTCATCTTGACGTTTCTTCAAGCAGCTGGCGAATGTTTGTCGTACACTTGTCAATGGTACACAAAATTATAAGTTATTCCTTTTCTGAATACAAACGAATGCACCGAGCAACTCAGTACAAAATAAACGACAATGTAATAGCATGCTTCACAGTGAATGTGTAAACTCCTGTGATTCGACTGGTTTATTGTTTATACAAAAGCAATTCGATCCCTCGCCCTATGTGGCCCACTACCAAGAGGTAAATTTTCATCCTCTGGTGGCATCAAGTCTGAAACACGGCAAGAGGCAATAAAAAGATGCAGAATATTGGTAAAGTTTAGACCCGATCACCACATGTCTCTCTCTTTTCTCTGCTTCTAAAGCAAAAGTCCAGACGAGTGCATTTCCATATCACCCTGAACCATACGTGAAACTGGAGATCTCCCGATAAATGTACCTGTGACAGCGATTTTTGCAGACCACTTGGAAGTTCCCTCAAGCACCAATTGTTTCGCAGATACGATAGCTTCAATGTGCGGATCGGCCTCAATAGAAAATGTCCTCCTAGACACAAGAAAATTGGATTTTGACGAGGACCGCTGCAAAAAAACGCGCTTTTCCCTTCATTCCCTTAGTCCGTAGCACTGCTGAGCGCAATTGCGGACAATCCTCGCAGCCGTTTGTGCAAGTACTGGAATTCGCATTCCTACACTTTTGCGCGGAGACCGCGAATGATTTCTCGCCTTTTTTGTCATTTTGTACTTCATGTATAAGAGTATATGCACCTTTGAGGACGATTTGGTGATTGTTGTTGTGATTACATGGAGATAAATGAACGGAAAATTTCTAAACACGGAACTATAACAGCCACACGTTTTGCTTTGGTGCAACGCATCTGCCGGAGACAAGCATGTACGTCGGACATCGTTGCAAGTCTTTTCGAGGGGCTTGAATTTCTAGGCATGCCTTAGAGGACGTGGACATTTGAGGATGGAACGATAAATTGAATTTCCATAGCAGGGACACCCAGCGGATCACATGTAAGATAAACATCGAAGCACAGTCTTGACAAGCAGGTACACAAACGAGCATTACTTGACGGTAAGGCATGTCGCAGTAAAAATTAGGCAGGCACACGGAGTGTTGGAGACTCGCATGAAGCAGTTTTCTTGTGTTATAACATGAATGCTACTTTTGCAAGAGCCATTCACTGTTGCCACAGAAAACGTGTGACAAACCTGTGATGCAAATTTTGCAGGACCATTTTGATGTCCCCTCCAGCACACTCTTCTTCACAGCCTTCATGTGACCTATGTGACTTTTTTCCTCGACGGTAAACACTTTCCTACATTTCCATGCATTTTCGCGGGAAGAAATGTCTTAGACATAGACTTTATCGGACGGAAAGTTTGCCTCGAATGAATAAATATTTTCATTGCAGTTACTCGCGGAAGAAACGTGGGGGGAATACCTGATGAGTTCGAAGATCTCGGGTTGCTCCATTTCATTCTTCTCCATGCGTTCTTTCATGGTTTGAATTATATTGTTGGTCTTATCGTCCGCACCATGCTTGCTGCTTTTCTCGGCGGCCCCTGAAGTGCAACTTGTTATTATTCCGGCCGTCGATAGGGAAGTCATCTCTGCTTACTTTGAAGGCAATCCGCGTTCAGAAGTGCTTTACATTTTTCGTGACACTTCACGCCGCACTGGGAACATCGTACACCCTGACGGGCGATCCCCCACAAGAGGCCCTCGCATTCGTAACAATAGGTCGGCGAGGTCGCCGTCCACGGGGCGAATTTGTGCGGCGTCGTGCTGCTGATCGGATAAATCAGCGCCTGCAACGTCTTCTTGTACACATGCATTTTCTGCGACAAAAGGGAACGCTACTGTTAGGTTTTTTTTTCGGATTTGTTTTCTCCCAGCGGAACAACGGTGCTTCCAGAGGAAGTCATGACCAGCAGGCATGGAACGTAGTCGGGCAACCTCGAATTTTGGTCCATGATCACTGGGAACGATGTCCCGAACACCCGGTAGACACTTCTATGTTTTCTTCGAGAATTTCAAGGACTAGGTTCTTGTGGTGCCATCTCTGACACGCGGAGCAAATTCCGATAAGTACAGTATGCGGTACAATACTTCAATTTGCAAAAGATTCTGATCATGTGTAAACGAACTTTCAATTTCTACCTCGAAAATTCCTGCAGCCGCTCGAATCTAAATTTTTATCAGCTCTTGTTAGTTCCAGATCACGATGCATTTTTATTCCTTTTACAGCTGCAATACACTTATACTGTATATCCAAAGTTTATCCCTAAGAATCCGCAATCGAAGCTCGGTACTTGTTGAGTATAGCCCAATCCGTCTCGGTTCAACAACGATTCGAAAATTTTTTTTTAAAGAATCTAATTCAAAAATTTTGACGCGTTCTGTCACATCAATTGCAAATTACAAAGCAGCTTATTGTTCTCTATAATGCCATGATATCATGCCGGTTGATCAATGAAATTTGCTTGAACAGTGAAGTACTGTACATCGACATGCACTTGAATTGGATTTTTACGAATTTCAAATGGTCACTAATATTTGTTCTTAGAATAAACGCTGATTATACACTTGGCCCACAAAAATTGCATAAAGTAGCAACAAAAATCGCACATAGACACTAAATTTCCGTTGAAAACAGCTTTCTGAGGACCATTTCATAAATTTAAAAATTGTAATGTAGCTGAGATATAAGTTATACGAAATATGCAAGATAACAATTTTATATTACGAACCATTTCTCATTGCAATAAAGACAGAATTGAAAAATGTATTAAAAGCTCACCAATTCTTCATCTTTCAGGGTTGGGCGAGGTACAGCTGACGTGAGTCCGGCATTCCGCTTTGTGGCTGCCATAGTCTATTGATCAAAAACATAATTAATTAAGCTGCGCATCCAATTAGAGTAAACATCTAATTTTAAATGCTGAGTTTGCGTCAGAGGCAATTTTCAAAAATCACGCTCTATTCAAAGAATATATGGTAATCCACGTGAATCCCAAGCCCCGAATCATCAGTTATTTAGATGAACTGAAACAGCCTTCGTGTATGCCTCGAAAACACAGGGTGTTTTTAATGTCAAAAACATAACAGAGCATAACATTGATAGAATCGATAGAATACGATCATGATTTGATGGGGTGCATGCCAAAATACAAAGCGCTGACATTACCTTGAGGACCTGGCAGTTCGTGTACCAAGAAACAGATATTCCAGTCACCGAAGCGTCGGAATAGCATGAAAGTTGAAGAAATGTCGTTAGTTTTGTGCATGGAAACTTAGTCAGTGCTACGTTTCAAAACGCTTGCCCGTTCGCAAGTGTGGGACAGAAAGTGCAATGCTTCGTGTGGATGGAAAAAATTTATTCCATTTGAACTGAAGCGACATCTTCAAAACTGTAAATTTTTCAAAAAAATGTAGTGGCACGGTGAGGCTGTGTTACATAGCTAAGTAATACTGTGATCATGTGTAACACGTTTTTAGGAAACACTTTGATGTACTGTAGGTGACAATTTTAGTGACCCATTCTGACATGAAGAATGTGAGGGAATATGACGCGAAAAAATGCGACTTGAAGTGATCCTGATGACGGATGCCATCGAATTTATACTTTTCCAATCAAATTAGTTTTAAAAACACCAATCATGAGTATCCTTGTGTTGCTTTCCAGAGGCTTTTCAGCATCTAATTCGGTCATTTATCTTTGTATGCATGACAGGCTTTCATATTGAAACGATGTTGAGCAACAACCTTTTCAAAAACTCGTGCATGCTTTAAGCACAAGATATGAATTTCATGCGTCATCACCGCAAGTTGATTTCAAATAAAGCGCCTGAAAGAAGCACAAGAGAATACGCAGAAAATGCAGCTGATAACAAAAAAGTGTCAAGGTGAAAGTTGTTTGCGAATGTTGAATACACAAAATACTAAATTCATTCTTCTCCGCGGGTCAGGATATTTCCCAAATAAAATTTCAACAAAAAATTAAACATTACGGTGCTATTCGATGCTTTCAACCAATACCTGTTTTAAGAAATTTACATGCAATAGCGAAAGGCAGGCAAAGTGATATATCACTACGAATTTGCTTTTTGCGAAGTGCTACCGAACGACACATCATGCTTTGTAATCAGCAAGTGTTTCCAATTTTCTTGTCATTTCCCATATGCAAATGTAGGATGACTAACTATGGGAGAAGGCATGTTGTACTTACATTGAGGAACTGGATGGGGGGAAATGATGGGAAAGGAAAAACATATAAAAAAGAATTAAACTTTGAGTCAGTAGATTGAGATTACACCGAGTAGGGAAATACTCATATGTGTGGAACACATCAATGGTTCCGAATCAGTGCTGATCATACAGGTTCATCAGTAAAGCACTGATGGTAATGATCACATCCTAATGGTAACATCGGAGGGCAACACACATTTCAACAAGTTCACAAAGCGAAGTGGAAGGATCCTTGGGTACATATATAGTGATGCGGTAAATGTGATTGCTTCTTGTAATATTTGAATCTCAGTCGTTCATGTGAGTATAGTTGTGTAGCATTGGAACTGGCAAACACAACGGAAGGCGTAAATATTTGTAAAATTTTCAAAAATTCGCTGCTAGGATATAATTCTCATCCGTGAATCTTGACAAAAAATCATCGAGTGATTGGCTAGGATCGGGGGAATCAAAGTCTCCCTCCAAAACAAAAAATGATAGCTCATTGAAAAAATGTTGAGCAAAGGATAAAACCACGGGGTTTCGTTTCAGTAGACTAGCCAAACTAGCACTGCAGATACGTAGGCATGTGCGTTGAAATTGAAAAATGTTGTGACGTGAAAACTTTTTAATAAACTGTACAGATTCTTGAATTCCAAACGGAAGGAAATACTGCATCATATATCAAGTATATATAATAATATGAACGAGATAAACAAGATACGGGTGAAGCGTTATGCTGAATATGTGCGAACAAAAAGTGAAGGGTGGAAGGGATGATGCAGAAAACTCGTTTAAACCGAATCTTCCCAAAATGCTGGGCAGATCCTACCACTGTTGCAGTACACAAGTTTACATAATCGCATTTCACCCCCAGTTCACAGCTGTCTTTATAAAAAAAACATCAGGTTCAAACGATTTCTGGGTCAATAAAGGGTCCAACCTCAAAGAAGCTGATCAACCTGCATCGTTTTAACGAGATCTGTTAACTGAAATGCAACGCAAAGCTTTCAGTAACATTTAAAAAGCAGCAAAAGCTCGATATTCCTGGATATCGAAAGAGTTCATCTGCTCATAAATGAAACGTAGCGACTCCAGACTATCACAAGTACTGTACCTTACTGCCTGAATATAAGCAATAATATGTAGTTCATTCAGTAAGGATGAGATTTATTTGAAACAAATCCAGCGATATAGACGAATGATTTGGAAAATGATGAAAGGTTAGAGACGCGGTGAAACAATAGAAGACATGCGTCAATTTGGGAATGGCAATCCTGAAGAAGATCTCTGCGGACCTCAATTATTTGTAAAATGTAGACGAAAGCTGAAAAAATATGCTGTGAGAGATAATGCTTTTGAAGTTTTGGACCTTCGAATGGGAACTGCCTCTCTTTGAAGTTGAACTACCCTGGACACGTGAACTGGTTTTCCCACGAAGGATAGGAAATGAGCAGATTCCAGTGACAGATTCTTTTTTTTTATCGATTATTTTTCAATGCAACAGCCGGTAGGAGTTGCTGCATAAATGCAAAACTGCACGGCTACGTATAGGTGCAATGTTTTCAAGCAGAACATTAGTCATGGAAAAATACACATCTGAATGAAAATTATTTTTTTTCCTTTTCAACTAGCTTTTCTTGGCTGAATTAAAAAATTGTGAAAGTCATTCCACCATTATCGCCAAAAAGTAAAACTATACCCGTCATTGTGCACAATACTCGGGCAGAATTTGTAAATACTGTATGCATTGAAGTTGCCATATCTCACATCAAACTGATGAGATCTGATGTTGCTCAGTGCCATACTTTAAGCACATCAGCAACATACTGGCTACATCAGTTTTTTCTGTACTAAACATAATTGTTAATAAAAAAAAAGTGCAGGAAAAACGAAGGACAACTCACAAGTTCACTGACAAGTGGGATTTGCTTCCGTCTGGGGTTTATTTCAGGCATGCTATCAATGTAGCTATAAAATGGATTGTCACCAGGCAATCTGCAAAAAAATGAACAGGAAGCATGATGAGTTATTCTCCAAAAAAAAAATGCTTCGCTGAATAAGCAGCAATTTTACAGATACATTCAAGAAGAATCCTCAAAAAAAGTAACGCTGAGTTTACTCACCCACTTCCTCTTCCTGTGCCTCCTCCTTCTCCCCCAGACTGAAAAAAGGAACGAAGAACAATCCGTTAGTAACGCGAAAAACATGACGATTGCAGTTCACATGAGAATGAATTAAATGAGAACGAACAGCTGTGCTTCCCAATTTCAAGGAAACGCGGAGCATGAAGCATCCAACGCCATAAACTCAGCGTGACTGATGAGGGAAGATCCTCGCGCGAGAGCAGGTTCATGGGGACATTTGAGGAGTTTAAAATATTCATAGCCCTTATTTCGACGGCTTTGTAAGTCCCTTCCCACACCCACAACAAGATGAAATATGAATCCTAAAGCTACACAAAATTGGCATAGAATCCCATGTTTTCAGTCAATGAATTCCACTTTTTGCGCAATAAACATCAATTAGGATGAGCCCACATAAGGGTATTGCCCATGAACTTTCGGGGTTCGATACTGTATCTGAAATAGCGGCCACATGCATTTCACCAAGCAGAAGAGAGGCTGTATTCCCTCCTTATACCATCGGCGCAAACGCTGTTTTTCTATTGATCAACTAATTTCTTCGTAAATTATCCAGTTTATCTTCAATATGTCAATATACGATAGTTCAATATAGCGCATATATATATATATATTTTCTTTTTTTTTCGCGGAAGTGCGCTCCTGAAGTCCGCCGACTTCACGGGTTTTCTAGATACATCTAGTTGCGAATCATGCACTCACCGGAGTTCCCACGGCCGGAATATCTACACTCTTCATAGCATCTTCTTTCTTCTCTTTTAGCGTTTTCAGAAGTTTCCATTTATTTTTGCCCATCAGAGGCAAATTAGCCAAATTTATTTCCTGGCCTAGGTGACTGCTCTCTTCCGGCGCTGTTTCGTCTTCTATGGTCACAGTGACCGTTGTCTGGTCAGATTTGTCCGGTTCACTGGCCTTACTTTCCTCAATGGCTGGAATGGGCTCTAAACGCGGTTCTGAAGCACCATTAGGGGGCATTACTACTGCATCACGACCAGAAAGCTCTTCGTCATCATCTGTGTAACACGGTGGGTTTTCATCCGGACCACTTGTGTCTCCAGAAGAGCAACTCTTTTCTGCTTCTTCGTCAATTTCTAAATCAGTGCATTCAGGTTTTTCGGTGTCGACTGATTCGACGGAAACATCTGTATGTAGACCTGCCAATTTCTCTTTCGGGATGTCCATATCAAGGACTTTTCCAACTGGATGCAGCTTGACGATGTTCCTCTCCATATCGACTGTTATGTTTTCATCTGGGGTCTCAATACCGTAAATAAATATGGCTGATGAGGGTTCTCTAGACGTATCGTCCATGGATGCTTCTCGAGAGTCTGTTCCCGGGCAGAGCCGGCTGGCGTCACTGGGCACCGAAAAAATTGCGGATTCCGAAGATTTTGAGCTGGATGTCATCGACATGTCTTGCAATTTATCGTTGTATTGTACAGACATCCCAGGGTGATGTCCGGATACTTTTGAGCCAAGAATAGGCAAATCTAAATCACGATCAAATGTCGTGCCCCTATGAAGTTTCTTTGCCGCATTCATACTATCTACGGTTGGTTCCACGTGGACTTGGTTTAGGAGCTCCTCAAGCACGTCATTCATTTTCTCTCTGGTTTCAAGACTTGGTTGGATGGCAGATGCTTCATGCTCGTATTTTTGCGCCTCTTCCATCAATTCCAGCTTTCTAAGTTCGTAACGGTACCATTCATCATCCGTATCGATTGATTCCTCAGTACTTTGCCGTCTAGACGAGACTCGAGAAGAACGGTAAGAATACAAACTGCGGGAGTCTTCTTCCTCGAATGAAACTTGTTTTTGAGACGGGAGCTCAAGCCTATTGCTGCCAAAGACGAACACTTGGGTTTCTTCTTCGGAAATTGTTCGTTGAGGAGATACGGTCCACCGTCGATCTCGAGGAGCATTGGCAGAGTCGACGCTAAGCATCCTTGGGATGCCTGATCTGGATATTGGGGACACTGGAGACACTGGAACGGATCGCGGAGACATAGATTCTGAAACCTTCGTTCCTCCACTGGTTTCGGATTGATTGCAGTTCGGACTGTCCGGAGATGGAGCTAATATCTCAACTTTGCTGTCAAGAGTCGGATTCGGCACCGAGGCCTGCTTTTCTTTTCTATATTCCTCCAATGCTCTGGACACCACAAATTCAGAGGGTCCTGAAACAATCTGAAAACTAAGCTCTTTCCCTGGCTGCTGGTATTTTTGCGCGTCTTCTTGTGCGTAGCCCACATTGGTGGATGAATAGGAATTTGCTCCTTGACTGCCGTTTGTTTCTTTTGGAGACGGCAGGGGGCTCGTTTTCCGTGCTTCTCCCACCGTTGGGAAAAGTCCATTTACGTACTCCTCAAGGTTTGGGCCGAAAATGGGTTCATTGCCTGATTTTTCGAAGTTTTTCTTCACTGTTGGAAAAAGCTCGTCCAAGTCAATCTCTTGCAGGTAAATTCTGCTCGAGCTTTCATCCGGTTCGAACCCGTGAGTTTCTCCGTCAGATTCATCCGAAGATGGACAGGAGCCGGTTTTCTTTTTGACTTTATGCAGCATCTCTGACATCAAGGTTGAAGTTGACCCTAATAGACTGCGATTGAAGCTCATCTTCTTTCGGAAAGAAAGTCGTTTCGATTCCACTCCCTCTTTCGAAGGGACCTTCGATGCCTTTGCTCCACCTGGGTCTCCAGGTTTTCTCGTGACGGATGGCAAACTCAAAGACCTACTTTTGGTAAAATCGACGGACGGCATCCAATGGCCAACTGAACTCATTGCTGCCCTCATACTCATTGTTCGCTTTGCTCCTCCGCCTCTTTTCCCACCTTTCGTTCGCGTGTTGAAGGAGTCTTGCGTTGCTGATCCACACGTTGTTGATGCGACGCCCGAGACGGAAGCTGAGCGAAGAGAAGAATTGGCAGAAGTCTGAAATTGCTGGTGCTGCATTTGGGAATGAGTCTTGTGCGCGGGAGAGCCGTCTGAACCATCATCTGGGATGGTTTTTTTCCAGGATTGAGAAGTTTCTCCAGGCGAATCTCTCATTGAGGTAGCCGATGACGATCCTGATCCTTGTTTAAACTGGGGGCTACTGGTTGCCAGGGCCGGAGTACCAGCGCTTGATGGACATGGACTGAATCCTGAGCTTTCAGTGTCCGGTTCTGAACTCCTGGTGACGTGGCTGACGGGCGCGACATTCGCCAGCGGCATAATTACGGCAAGTGGAACTTGATCGTTCGTGAGTTGATTTTCGGAATGTAAACTCGCAGACCTTGGGGGTAATGGGGCTTTTCTTTTGGTAAAATTTTTTCCACAGCTGGTACTCGGCCGATTGAACGTGAGTTCTTCTGGATCTTCCTTGTCACCTGCACCCTCCATTTGCTTCTGAATCCCGTCATTGGACTTTGATTCACCTTCTTCGAAAATTTGCCTCTCCCCGGGGAGATTTTCGTGTTTTGCAGAATTTTGATCGAACCTGCCAAGCTTGAACTTGTTGTTCATATATTTGTCATCCTTGGAAACTCCTTGGTGCCAGTTTTTTTCGTCAAGGTAACACTTGCTCAAAGGAGCCGGTTGCAATTGCTCAAATGGTTGTGTCTCGGGTTTCTTGCTTAAAAGCATGGCATCTGGGAAAACCGGCTGATGATCTTTGTGACACTGAGCCGAGTTAGGTCCATGTTCAGATTTATCGTTCAAAGAAGATGATTGCCAAGGGGTTGCCGTACTAACAGTAGCTGTAATATCGTGAGACCATGATTCCGCAGTTAACGAACTCGGTGATGTCAAAGCTCGAATCGTTGAGAAACCTCCGAAAGAGATCCCATCATTATGCTTGCCCTCTAAATATGACGCTCCACGGATGTCAAATTGATGATCCATTTTGTTCACCATCCAATGGGGCTCGTTTTCGTGATTTTTAGTATTTTGTACGTATATCTGATCTCTGCTTATGGCACTGGGAATATCAATGATTCCCATGGTTCTCTCTTGCAGCTGCACAGTTGAATTTTCAGGCAGTGGGACGTTGAACCTGGGAATGTAATCTGATTCATAATTATCCGGAAGACTATGAAGAACCGGAGACCTTCTTAATGAAGGGCTCAAAGATGGTGTTCTTGAGTAGTTTTCCTGCAGTTGTAACTTCTCCTCGATGGCGAAAGGGTCGGGGCTTCCCCGCCTACACTTGATCCCAGTGTAAGAATCAACGCCCAGCTGCTGCATCTCTTGGCATTTCAATTTCTGAGGAGACGGAATCTTCGTAGGAACAAGTGAAATTTTTTCCATTGATGAGGACTGGCTGGTGGTGCCATCAGCATAAAGATTAGATCCTCTTCTGCTGGAATTCATATCCAAGGGATATTTTTGAGCGGCTTCCTGTAAGCAATTTCTGACCTCTATTTCCATTTCCGCCAATGATCTTTCGAGAACATCCGAAAATTCTTGCTGTCCTTTATGTGAAACATAATTTTTTGCTTTTTCTGAGACTTTTTTCCCGGGTACAGCGTGTCCGCTTTTCGCTTCGGATTTCTGGGATATAGCTTGAATGGTGCCGGAGATCATGTCGACAAACGGGCCCAAAGATGACTGGGACGAAAATTCATTTGCTTGATGGATCGCAGGATGGTTTTTGAATTGAGCATGCGAACTTTGAATGCTGGTTCTTCCTGAATCTAATGGGGAATTCAAAGGGCCAAGCGCCCCTCCGGATGAGCAAGGTTTGGAAGACTGTTGAAAAGGTTCAGGATATAATTTTTTTCGTGTAGGTTGTAATTGATCAGGCGTCGAAAATTGCTCCATCTGATCGATGGCTTCTGCTGACATGGAGGTCATTGGTTTTCTACTGGGAAAGAACTCGGAGTAATCATCCTTGCGCAGGTCATCATAAGATTGGTTTGACTTTTTGTGGTAGGGGACTTTTGCTTGGCTTCTGGTTGTACCTGTATCTGACGCTATCTGTAGTGATGTCGGTGACACCGATTCGTACCCGGTGGGAATACGAGATCCTTGAGCTTGAACGTCAGGAAGGAATTTGTTTACTTCAGTCAAAGGCGACACAGAATTACTTCCAACTGAAGCCCAAGTCTCAACCCTGGCTTCAAGATAAATTTGCCTGAGCTTCTCTTCAAGAGATTTTCCCTCATCATATAGATCTTTTCCTGAAAAGTCTTTTACATTCGGTTGCGGCAAAGTTCGGGACGCCTGCTGATATTGCTGTGGAGCTCCCCATAGTTTTTCCCTCAACTGCTTTAGGTTCTGAGAGTCTTGTTGCAGTGTGGAGCTGAGAGTGTCCAGCTCCTGGAAATTATTCTGACTCATAGCACTGCCGAACACGGATGATTCTGGCAACTGCGCTCCAGCGCTTTCCCGAATCGCTCCATGAACTGGAAAATCTGGATGGTCTCGAGTCGGAAATATATCCTGAACCTGATTCCCGAAATCCTTCGACGGACTCTCGGGACTCATCAAAGCCTCTTTGATGTCATTAGCGATTGACCGCTGCGCTTCAGGATCGAAACACGCATACCAGTCGCCATGAGCATAATTCAAGCTGCGATAAAACGCTTCACTGACTCCCGAGGGATCCAGTGGTGGCTGCGGCCAACCGGAAAAATATTCCCCAGCGTGTAAGTCAAGAAGCTGCGCCATCATCCCATGCTGCTCCGCTAGGTGTTGTTCAACTTTTTCTAGCCTCTCCCAGATTCGCAAATATTCTTGCGAAAGCAAATCCAGGGCCTTCCATGCGTACTGCAGCTCAGTTTCAAGCACTGTGATTCTTGCATCCAGTAACTGTCGACGATCACCATTTTCTCCGTAATTCATGATCTGCTGGGCGCCGCAAGATGTTAGGGACTGGGCATGTTCCATTCTTCTGCGGCCATCCATGCAGTATTTCGGAATGGAAGGCTTCGGGGCCTGTGCACGCACGGAACTCCACCAAAGCTTCTCAAATGCTCAAAACACCACAGGAATCATGGGAATCCCAGGTTTCCAGGTAGTCGACGAACACGTAGGGAAGCGGGTTCTCGAGTCCTCTTGCTAGGAGAGTCACTCACGGAAACGGAAGCTGTAAATTGGTTCCCCGAAATCCTTGTTCCGCCAGTCCATCCTGATATATTTATGACCCACGGAATCAAGTCGCACGTCGTGCGAATGTCAATTCATCACTGATCATTCTCCTCAGGTTCTCCGAAACTTATTTTTTCAACGGAAACTCCTCTAGAATAATTCAGCGCAGGATAGGTACGCTAGCAAGAAATGAGACGAAATAAATCGTTGCCAGGAGGCTATGCCTAGCAAAGTTCGTCCGCAAGCATGCCGACATGCTTTCGCTTCTGATTGAGACAACTAGAGCACACTGTATACACGCGAAGGTTCATGGGCTACCTGCAAGGAAAGCAAATATTTTCATATTTTTATTTTTTAAAATACTGGAACACTTTTGCCTCGCTGCATGGCCCATAACAGCCTCGAAAAAGCCATATTCTCTCACAGAACACGTTTTCATGTCGTGTGTCACTCGCACTCCGCGTGGCTCATCGTCCATGAAAAAAGAAAAAGGTATATACTGTAGATAAAGTTTGGAAAAAGGGCACTCGACAGGTTCATGAATCGGGCTCATGGCCCTTTTCTAAAAAAAACGGCCATTCAAGCCATGGATGCGTGAATGAAAAAAAATATTGAAAACGACCCCCGATATGTTTATCAGCAAAACGACGCGGGCAGAGTATTTTTCCGCGCACCGCAGCAGGTCAAGGTCAGCTAACGAGTGGCATGATAGAACAGAGCACCTTGTTATATTTGTGACATCGTAATCTTCACATTGATGCGAAAGTGCTCGTTTGGACTAATCGAAACGTGACAGCCGAGGAATGGGAGGGAGACTGACATAAAAAATTAATAAACGTGAATATGCGAGAGAACTCGAACCAACGAAAAAATGTATGCACACTATTGATACAGACAGATCTAGTTCCGAGAATCAAGCAACTTTTCGAGATGGCTGAATGTCCCAGGAATTCGGTTTTCACGATTCATGGAGAATCTTGACCATGCTGATCAAACCCACGGCACGTTTCGCATGAACAGCACGACCGGACGAAAATCGAATAAACCGCATTTATGAGGAGTCGGGATGCCCGAAGACCTGATGAACGATTGTGAATGCGTAGCTTGATTTCCGTTTCAAGGAAAATTCAGCGGTTCTTTCAGAAAATGTTGAATATTTACGAGGCTCGCCTTGAGACATCTTGACAGACCCATGGCCTTTTTTGAATAGTTTGTCACTTTTGATGCAGGAAAAAAGGTTTCACTGAAAATGCGTGCTTTAGACTGATTCGGCCGTCTTTTCAGAGATCCTTCAACGAATATATTTTTGAATGAATTTAAATTTCAAACGTTTCAGCCTTGACTAGATGAAATCCTCTGTCGCCGCTGATTGCTGTCTAAATCAACGCTCGATAATGTATATTCGGAGCAAGTATCAATTATAAACCGCCACTTACACACCATTTCTAACCCCATTAAGTAATAAATACAAAACAAGTTGAAAGCGAGCTATGATCCTATGAATTAATTCAAAATCTTATTCATTCAAACGTAATCCTCAAATGTTAACTTTCATTCAAACGGAGAATTCGAATCACTGAAAAAGATGTTTTTATGGTTTAAAATTTGGAAACATTTGATAAGAAAACTGACTCATAATGCTCATCGATAAATAGTAACATTTTGCTGTTTTGAAGAGAGCTTCATTTTTAGAATTTAATGAAGTTACGGAGACAAACTTTCGACGAATAATCTCCAAGAAATCCTTCTCCCGCTTTCCCGATGGAAAGTATACGAGGAGCAAAACATCTCGATGCTCATGAATGAGCCTCATCTAAGAAAATATTCAGAAAAACGATTCAAATGTGTCTAACGCCATTTTCGGTGATCAAGTATAGTTGGAGATTAAATATTTCTTTCGTCAAAGTTTGATTTCTCATTTGTACCAGTACTCCTAAACCATCGATTTTACAAGGCATTGCGTTCAAACTTGATAGTATCATTTTACTTTTTGGGTAAACGAGTGCTGCAAAAAACACGACAAGAATTGATTGGGCCATACGAATGCAAGCTCAAAATCATTACCTCGCAGAAAATTTCCTCTAGGTTAATCAATGGGGAAGAACCAGAACGCTTTTTCTCGTGTTTTTTTTAAAAATCTTGACAATGCATTCCGCAGAGCATTTCGGGGCAGGTGAATGACGCTTTCTTAATACACGTAAACATTTTTGAAGACGTCATGGAGACGTCCTAAATCATGCAGAACCCGAGAACCCTTTCAATGAGAGGTTCTTAGAATGCTAAGACACCGAACACTTGAAACTTAGCCAGAGAAGCCACAAGTAGTTGAGCGACGGGAAGAGAATGAATAAACCTCGCACTCAACAGGAACAGGTGCGAGAGACTACCTACGAACCCGGACGCCGGTCGGGAGTATTTCACACGATTTCTCCTCTTTTATGCACGGGTTACACAGACTCAGCATGTGAGAATAGAAACTAAATCAATAGAAGCTGCGGATGGTGGAAATTTCTTCACCTAGGCGGGAACCAACTGTGGAGCCTCTCCTTTTGCTGCGAGACTAGGGTCAACGGAAGCCCAGCCCGCATGCGTGAAGAAAATCAATACAAGAGCACCTTCTCCCATGCCCCTTCCTTCCGCCACCTTCAAGCCGACTCCAAACTCGGCTCTACATTGCGGCAATATCAGCCCTTCCTTGGTTTTTGACCCATTTACACCCTGACAGGCCCGTTGAAATTTCATGCACAATTCATTCCACAACCTGAGAGCATCATTTTTACCCCTCTTCCGCGTTCCATGGGTTATCGTCACGGTCGAAAGTACGCGCCATTTTCGGGACACGCACGTAATCGCACTTCCTCTTCAAGTGGTCATCTTCTGTAAAACACGCAAATGACCTCGTGAGGTCAAGAAAAAAGGGGATGCCATCCTCGCTAGGCAACAAGTTCTCCACGTCCTGCATGACTGACGAGCTGCCAAGGGATCCCCGGAAATCAACGCAAAGAACGCACCGGGCAACGCCTAATGACGCGCTCCTTCGTTAAAGAATGCGTCCTCCGGCGAAGATCATTCATTCTGCCTAAGATAGGAATTCTCTCGTCGCTTCTCATGAATCCCTGAATGGAACTGAGAGTATAGTCCCTTGAAACATCCGCTCCTGAGGGAGTCAGAAAACCGATGCTATATTCGGCAAAGGAGGGCTTATTTCATTCCCCCAAGAAACGATCGCAGAAAATCCGTAAGTTGACCTGAAAGCTCAAGTCCCAAAAGTGCAACGGTTCTTTTCCTGCCGTGCTCGAATTTTAATTCGTAATGACACTGCTGAGTATTCCGTGCGTATGAAACCTCATTTGGAAACGGGTTACCATGGAAATCAATGCTCGCTCCTGACGAGCCACGTCGAAACTATACAACCCAACACACGCTGTAAACGGTTCGTCGAGTAAAGCGGATGAAATAAGGATATGAAAGAAAGAAAAAATCATAAAAATCCGGACACAAGGAGAAACGCTTGAAAAGTCTCGCGAAGTTAAGAACGTGGGATCTTTAAAAAGCCGTTCTCGCGACGCCGGCATGAGTTCTTATCCCCAATGATCGCGTTCACGGCACTCGGCTCAGATTACCACGTATTGGGAACGATGCGTGCCGGGCATGCTGAAGGTGCGAGGAAAACTTTTCCAGGGGCGCCTCGTTTTCCCGCAGGTCCGAGTTTGTTGGGCTCTCGAATGCATCAAGTTCGCGCGCCATCCGGGTGCGAGCCTTTTGTCCCGCCCCGGCCCAGGGGCAAGGACCAAATGCAAAACGGCATACGGGTCCGCGAGGATAATGAGGAACGGTGCGAGGGTCAGCTAATGCAGGCCCGACGCGTTTTCTGGTGACGAAAATCTCCTGCGCCCTCCTCCTTCGGTCGCGCTTCTCATTCCAATAGAAACCCAATCGAGGCTAACAAAGTGGAGTTCCGTCGGATTGCGGAGGGCGCGCCGCCGGGCGGATGTCATGCCCCGCAATAACGAGCCTCTTTCCGGGACTCATGAATAAAAGATTCCATCGCGGCCGAGTAGAGCAGTATGTGACAAATCATGTAAGATGAGCCGGTACAAATCCCTCGATGTCCTGCGCTTCGAAAAACTGTGTCACGCGGAAACGCGCCGGAGTTGCTTGCATGAGAGACGGGTGGAAAAGTCCCCGGAGACAACAGCCCCAGAGACCGCCACAACGGCTCGAAAGCTCGCGAGCCTTCATTGTAGCAGCGGTCTTCGGATCAATGACAGGCCCCACGCGACCGGAATATGCCACACACAATTCCGGACAGGCATCTGAATAATGAATATGAGCGGTCGAATCATAACAAGGCTGATTGGCCCGATGCAGAAAGCTCTTGACCGCATCGATTCTTCGTCCGCAGTACTGGTGCTTCGGTTTGCATTCCGCTCTCGGGATGTGCTCGGGAACAAAAACCTGTCCGTTCTTCGCCCGAGACATCGGATATCTCTAATCCCTTCCATATTGCGGCTCTCGAGACAAAATCGCTTTTCCAAGTCGATGCAACTGCGTCGATGACTCGACCACTCCGTCGATAAAACAGCTGCGGCGGCGATGTAAAATCCTCCATCACGCAGCTGCCCACTTCGATCCGCCGAATGAAATATAAAGAACGAAGAAAGGTTGCGTGCCTAGGCACGTATAGGCAAACGCATCCAGCGTAATTGCACGCGTCCCGGCTACAATCATCACGAACCACGGCTGTCATTTCCGCCTAGTCAGTGAAAAAGTGCACCCGGAACCGATTGAGATCTTCG